GCACACTGTTACCAATGAGAGTAGAAGAGAGATTATCAATAGAGTAAAGCCAGCATAGCTCCTGAAAGGCTTCAATGCTGGGTCTAATTTATATTCTCGTTTTATACTCTAAAACCACAAGGTGGGATAGGCAAGCAAGCAGAATTTACAGAAGCCTTTGTGGCAGTCAGCAGTTTGTTAAGGGCAATGACCCATTGGTTTCAGCTATTTCTCCAGGTCATTCTGTTCCAGGTAGCAATTGAAGTCATGTTTGGCAAATAGGCATTACAAGCAGGGCTTTAAGTAAATCACTAAATAAATCAATAAATCAATGTCTAGTAATTTGTCTTTTCTAACTTGTTCTACTTCGGGGGCATGACAGTGAAGCTCAGCAGACAGCAAAGGCCACTTCAGCTCCATGTAGACACACAAATCAGAAATTAAAGTCCAAATGATGACATTCAAGTGAAATTCAAGGTCCTGGTCCCTATACAACTCTAGGACACAAAAACATAGATGGGGACTCTCAAATGTCACCTAGGATCTTGAATACTAGAGTAGAAGCAAGAGGTAAGGAGGTGGAGGCAGGAATATCAGAAGTTCAAGTCATCCTTGTCTATACAGCAAGGTGGACACCAGCCTGAGAAATATAAGTACCACATCTCAAAACTTAAAATGAAGAATGGAAATTTGACATAAAGGTAATTCACTTTACTAGGTCTGAGAATAGATCTGCAGACTTTCATAAACACTAAAGAAAATTGGGGCCAGGGAGATGGCTCAGTGGTTAAGAAAACTGGCTGCTCTTCTAAAGGACCTGGGTTCAATTCCCAGCACCAACATGGCAGCTCATAACTGCCTGTAACTCCTGTTTCAGGGGATCTGACAGCTTCACACAGACATACACACAGGCAAAACATGAATGCAATGAAATAAAAATAAATTAATTTAGCCTGGTAGTGGTGGTTGCACACTTTAATCCCAGCACTTGGGAAGCAGAGGTGGCAGGCTTGATCTCAATGAATTCAAGGTCAGCCTGGTCTACAGAGCTAGTTCCCGGTCAGGCTCCAAAGGTACATGGAGAAACCATGTCTTGAAAAAATTTCATTTTAAATAAATAAAGTAAGCACTTGGGAGGCAGAGGCAGGCGGATCTCTGTGAGTTCGAGACCAACCTGGTCTACAAGAGCTAGTTCCAGGACAGGCTCCAAAACCACAGAGAAACCCTGTCTCAA